CAAAAATGCTCACTAGATGGCGGTGTGTGTTAGAGTGTAAAAAAGGGGTCCTGACAAGTCAGTCCTGGGTCCTCTGACTGCTGGGAGAAGTACTATTTCCTAAGAGAGGATGGAGCCCCATAACATGAGCTCTGGGCCCTCACCAGAGAGCATAAGAGGTTGTGTCAAGTCAGCTCTGGGTCTTATAAGCAAGGAGAGGGGTCCCACCTGAGAGTGTAAGGGTCCTATGACCTCAGGCCTGGGCCACTTGAGTGTGGAGAGGACTACAGGAGAGATGGGAGTGTCCTGTCACTGCACACCTGTGTCCTGTGAGGGTTGAGAAAGGCCCCTCCCTGTGAAATGCAAGTGTCCTGACCCTTCACCTTTGATCCCGGTGATTGTGGGGAGGGTTCTGACTTGAGAGAGCAGGGGACCTGTCACTTCAGCTGTGGGTCCTGGGAGCCTGAACACAGCCTCCCTCCGATAGCACAGGGCTCGGCCACACCGGCCCTGTGATTGTGAGGTGTGCAGAGGCTGTGGGTCCATGACGTCGGGGAACATCCCTGCCTGTGGGTGTGACTGGTCCTGTTCCAATCCCTGTGCTCTGTGGGTGCGGGGACAGGGGCTTCCTGGAGAGAGCTGGGGGTCCTGTCACTTGAGCCCTGAGGCCCAGGATTGCAGGAAAAAGCCTCTCCCCACCCCAGGGAGAGGAAGCTGTGGTTTCGCGTCAGCACTGGGTGTTGTGAGCAGGAGGACAGGCCCCACCGGAGAGGACACCTGGTCTTCTGACATCAGCCAGGGTCCCAGAGAGTGAGGAGGGGAGGGGTGTCCAACGTGAAACAGTCTGCGGTGCTGTTCCAACTCCTCGGGATCTTGTGAATGGGGGGTGGGCCCCTCACTGAGAAAGTAGGGGGCCCTGCCATCTGAACTCTGGGTCCTGGGAGTGTGGGAAGGGGCCTCTCCCTGTCAGGAGTGGGGTCCTGTCACAGTGAAGAGGGCCCTGACCTGGGAAAGACAGGCATCCTGCCTGACAGCCGAGACCCGTGGACGTGGGAAGGGCTCCCACCTGACAGAGTAGGTCAGGCCTGTGTGACAGGCTCTGTCCCCTGTGCATCTGGAAAACTGTCCCACCAGGGAGAAGAGCGGTTCCCGTCCCCTTGGCTCTGGGGCCCCCGAGTGTGTGGAAGGGTCCCTCCCGGGGAGCGCAGGGGGTCCTGTTACATTGGCTCTGGGTGCTGTGACGTGGGGGCCGGGTCACACTGGAGACAGTAGAGGGCACGGCAGCTGCAGCTTTTGCTCCTGTGGCTGTAAGAAGGTGTCGGTCCTACCAGAGAGTGAGGAGCCGTGTTGCTTCAGCACAGGGTCTTCTCGGTACGGGCCTGGGGTCCCTCCTAAGAGAACAGCAAGGCCTGTGACACCAGGTCTGGGCCCTGTGCGTGAGTGGGGAGCCCACCTGGGAGAGTGGGGTCCTGTGGTCACAGCTTGCATCGTCCGAGTGCTGGGGGGGGGGTCTCATCAGAGAGAACAGGGGGTGGTGTCACATCCCCTCCAGTTAAGGGGGCTCAGGGAGCGTGGGGCGGGGTTTCACCCAGAGAGAGCAGCGGTCCCGTGACATCAGCTCGGGGCCTATGAGTATGCAAAGGGGCCCGGCTGCCAGAGTAAGGGGTCGAGTCACTTCAGCTCTGGGTTCTGTGGTTATGGACAGGGGTCCCTCTCTGGGAGAACAGGGGTCTTGTCACATTAGTTTGGGGAAAGGTCCCCCCAGCGGCAGTAGTGGGCCCTGTCACGTGAGCTTTGGGCCCAACAAGGATGGGCATGTAAGACCTGCTGAGCTGGGGATGGTGTGAGGTGCCCTGGAGATTCCAAGCGTCCTGGCAAAACGGTCCGAGCAGCTGCTGAGTAAATAGGTGCCATCCCCAGGATGTGCACTAGATGGCAGCAGAGCAAAGCATTTCCAGGCAGTGGGCGTCTGAGAGCCAGCAGGCCCACTCTGCCAGCACAGAGGGACCTGTCCCATCAGCTCTGGGTTCTCTGAGTGTGAGGAGGGGTCTCACCGGAGAGAATATGGAGCCCTGACACCACCTCGTATCTGAGCCCTGTGACTGGGGGAGGGGCTCCCCCTGAGAGAGCTGGGGTCCTGTCACATCGGTGCATGGGACTGTGTGGAGGGGTCAAGCCTGAGAGACTGGGGGTGCCGGGATGTCAGCGCCGAGTCCTGTGCGTGAGAGTGGGGGGTCCAGTCACTGCTGCTCTGAGTCCTGTGCGTGCTGGGGGGGTCTCCCTGGGAGAGCAGGGTCCAGCCACAGCGGCTCTGGGTCCGCATGTGGCTGTCTCGCCTCTGGTTCTCAGGACCGACACGACTGTCTTCCTGAGTCGTCCGAGACCTGATTGAAACAATGGGAAGCGGAAACATGTTTCAAGGAAACATTGTATCTGTGCTTTATGGGCAGAAAATGTTTCACACCATCTTATCTGGTGCGGCACAACACAGGACAACTTCGTCCTTTCTAACGAAAGTAGAACAGAACCAAACTGCGCTTCTACGTCAGCTGACTTTTCACATTTACACCCATTTACTTAATGAAATGTGTTCCCATCACGGTCAGCTTTGCCATATAAAAATCTTCCCCTCTCTGCGTTTCCCCCCACAGATCTTCTGCCACTTTTCCTTTTCACACTCCGCCGTTGTCCTGCTTTTCCTCTGTCTCGCTCTAGAGCAACAGCCTCTCTTAGGACAAAACTAATTCCCTTTCTCTTCAAAGAAACACGCCCAGGCCTCATACCATTTTATTCAATCACAACATATCTTGTTTTTCTTGTAAACACAGTTCTTTTCTCTGCTGCTTTTTTCTGTACCTTTAATTATTCTTAACATTTTTTTTTATCTTAATTTCTGCCCTGGCTGGTGTAGCTTGGTGGATTGAGCGCGGGCTGCGAACCAAAGTATGGCAGGTTCGATTCCCAGTCAGGACACATGCCTGGGTTGCAGGCCACGGCCCCCAGCAACTGCACACTGATGTTTCTCTCTCTCTCTCTTTCTCCCTCCCTCCCCTCTCTAAAAATAAATAAATAAAATCCTTTAAAAAAAAGAGCTCTTCTTAAGTCTTAATTTCTTGTTGAGGATTAGGGTAAGAAATTGTGAATTCTCTGTTACTCAAGTATTCTTTAGATTGATATTTATAAACAAATTCAATCACTTCTACAGATATATTTATTCATAGCAAAAATTTTTAATGTTTCACAAAAGTGGAACATTAGTGTAAAACGTTGTAAAAAGTGTAAAATATTCTTAGTTCCTCTATAATTTGCAGCAAAACACAAAAACCCTGTGTTCCATCAGCCTAACCCTCAGCCAAAGGCTCCCTTACACCACATACACAAAAACCTGAAAATAAACCCACAGTTTTCCTCACCCAGCCGACCTCTGCTGGTCCTCTGCAGACTGATGCTCCCTCAGGCGCCCAGGTCCCAGGAGACGCCGCCCTCATGGGGGGCTGCTTGAGCCACTTAAACCATCTCAGCAAAAGGGTGCCATGGGAAACCACAGGCACCATCTCTGGTGGCTGTCCAGGTAGGACAGACCTGTCCTGGGCGCCGGGAGAGGTCACGACCCCTACAGGTGCACAAGGGCCTCAGCGGCAAGAGAGGCAGCGGGGGCTCCAGAGGGACCCTGCAGCCCGCACCCCACAGTTCAGGGGCTGACCCTGGCCCCCTTCTAGCCGTCCTGCTTAAATCCATTACACTTGGGGAAACTCCAGCAGAAATGGAGCCACATAATCCGTGACTCCTCCTAAAATACGCTACGATTGGGAACTGCAGCCCCCAGGAAAAGAAGCGTCTTGTCTCCACGTCGCTCACCGCTGGAAAATAAGGCGAAGGCAGCCAGGACTGTGGTCCCAGTTATTGGATAACGACGAGTCACAGAATAGCACCAGCTCCGAGAACTTCCAGGTGCTCCTGGCAAAAAGGATCCAAAATTGAACAACCGGAGGGAAAAGCTATATTACCTTCTGACACCTTCTCCCGGACTCCTCAAGACCGTACGGGACCCGCCCAGTTTGGTTGCAACATCAACGTTGACTTGCGTCTTTAGGGAGAACTGGTCACCGTGGCTACAGCGAAAACCCTTTCCGTCAATCACGTCACTTGATCGGACCAGAACTATCCCCACGCCCGGTCTCAGCCCTGCCCCCGGCGGAGCTCACAGTGGGCGCGAGACGTCCCCTGGGGCGTCGTCCGCTCGGACGGGGGCCTGTCTCTCACCAGGGACGTTTCCGACGAAGGGACGCCGACCCTGCCTCCTGGCGCCGAACGGCCGAGGAAAGGTCCGGAGAGAAGAGCGCGCGCGCGCGGAAAGAGCCCGCTGTCCGGAGGCCGCCCGGGGCGCGCCGGGCCCGGGCTCAGGCGCGCGGAGCCTCCGCGTGGGCGCGTGGGCACGTGGGGTCCGGCGCGGAGCGATTCTGTTCAGCTCCTCGCCCCGCACCGCGGGACACGGGAGAAGCCCGCCGCTCCTTCACCACGCTCCCGCGACGCCGGTTTCCCCGTTTTTTTCTCTTTTCACAACCAGGAGAGAGAGGGGAGCGAGGCGGCCTTTGCGAGCGCATCCAAGTGAAGCGTCAACTCGCTCCACTCCGCTCTCCCCCCCCACGGGGGAGAGGGACCCCCACACCTGCGCGAGCGCGCGACCCCGGTGCCCGGCTCCCGCCCCATCACAGTCCTCCGAAACCCTCCTGGAGTCTCTCGAGGTCCCCGTCCCCAGACCTCCGTTCTCCCCGTCGCACCAAGCACTGCACCGGCCTTTCCCCCTCCCGCCCCCAGGCCTCCAGCGTGACCTGTCCAAACCTCCCCCAGGCGGCTCCGGTCCGCCTTCTCCGTGCCCACGCTCCCCAGCACCGCGCACCAGGGTCCAGCCCTTCCAGACCCGCGCCGCCCTTCCCTTCTCACCTGGGCTTCGCCCCCGAACCCCGACCCGCCGGGGTCGCAGCCCAGCCGGCCCCGCTGTCCCCGCCGTCCCTCGCCAGGCAGAGTCCCGGGCGCTCCTCCTGCGCGAAGTTCCTGAGGTCCCCGGGGCAGACGTCGCGGCGCCCCTGCGCTCTGCGTCCCGAGACCTTCGCCCCGGGGCCCCGTCCTGCGGCCGCGGGGAGGGAAGAGAGAGCACCGGCGGGCCGAGGTGGGGACGGGCTGGGTCTGAGAAGGGCTCCGGGGCCGGACCGGACCGGACCAACAGGACCGTCAGCAGCGCAGACAGGCCGAGCCCAGCGCCGGGAGGGTGGGGGCCCGGCCGGGCGCGGAGGGCGCGGACCGAGGGCGGCCTCGCCCGGGGAAGGCAGCCTGTTCCCTCGGCAAACACGTGCGAAGCGTCCCCTGGCGTCGCGCTCCGGGCCGCACGCCGGTGGGAGGGACCCACGAGCCTTCGCGGGGCCCGCTGCTCACAGAGATAAGGAAACAGATGCGTTCGTCTGCACGGAGGTGGCCGCTGTGCAGAAAAAGAGCAGGACACGCAGGCGGAAGGAGGAGTGGTCCGGACACACCCTGTCTCTCAAGAAGCGGCGTGGACGCCGAGGCCAACGTGGCAGCGCAGGGCCCGGCATCCGGCCCAGACGCGGTGGAAGCGTCCGGGCCGCGCGGACACCTGCCCACGCGGAAGGCACCGAACAACCGGGAGACGGAGTCGCGGCGGTGAGGCGCCGCAGGCGTCCGAGGAGGACGGTTTTCGGGTCATCGCTCGGACGTCACCCCTTGATGACTGTCCTGTGACGTCACTGACAGTAAACACCCCTGCTTTCCTGGGTTCCCAAGTTGACCGTCTGCAATCTCCCTTATTGAAAATGCAAACATTCGCCACATTGTGAGTTCCTCAGGTAACCTGGTGGGGGGTCGGGGCACCATTCCCTTAGGAAACACTTCTGCTTTCTGCAAGACCAGGGGTCCAAGCCCAGAACTCAGTAAAAATGAGTCTCCTGCACACTCTCCTGGGAGGCTGGGAGTCTCTCCCTGCGCCTCAGCCCCCACAGGTGTTTTCAACCAGTGCCCTGAGGCTCTCTTTCCCGGCGCTGGGGCCCTGGGTTGCACGGTCTGTCTCACTGCCCAGTGTCGCCTGGTTCATCTGTGCGCGGATGTGGGGTCGCCCGCACAGCCAGGCGCCCTGCGCACAGTGCCTCGCTTCACCGTCGCTGCCTCTGGGGTCTGCCAGCCGCCTGCGCACCCAGGGTCCGCCCGCTGCGGTCTTGCTCCCCGGGATGCCTCACGCAGGATGCCCACCGCCTTTTGTGCTGCGACCCCTCTCCGCCCGGCTGTCTGACTCCGCCCCTCCTACCGGTCTGGATGAATGTGTATATTTGAGCTCCTTGGTTGTCCGACTTCCATGCAGTTCAATTTTCTGTCAGATCTGGTTGTTGTCTTGTTTCTGACTTGTTGCTGACCGTATTTTGGTTGTGCGAGGAGGCACAGTGTGTCTGCCTACACCCCCATCTTGGCCGGAAGTCCTGGAGAGACCCACGGGGTCCTAGAATGCGCACAAGCCCACCCGCCGGGGAATCAGCACCAGAAGGGCCCAGTTAGCTTGGGGGAAGCGGGGGAAGGGACTGAAATCCGACAGAGAGAGGAGCAGGCGCCATTGTTCCCTCTCGGGCCCCGCCCCCACATACTGTGTAACAACCCAGCGACTGGGTTGCCCTGCCCTGGTGAGCACCTAAGGCTCTGCCCCTCACATGTCATGGGCACAACAAGACCAAAAAAGGCTCGAACAGAAGAACACTCCAGAGCAGATACAACTAAGCAACCAAGAGATAGCCAACCTATCTATCAGATGCACAGTTCAAAGTACTGGTGATCAGGATGCTCACAGAATTGGTTGATTTTGGTCGCAAATTAGATGGAAAAATGAAGGCTATGCTAAGTGAAATGAAAGAAAATGCACAGGGAACCAATAGTGATGGGAAGAAAACTGGGACTCAAATCAACAGAGTGGACCAGAAGGAAGAAACAACCAAACAGAAAAGAATGGAAAAATAAGAATTAAAAAAAATGAGGAGAGGCTTAGGAACCTCCAGGACACCTTTAAACATTCCAACATCCAATTATAGGGGTACCAGAAGGGGAAGAGGAAGAGCAGCAAGTGGAAAAGGTATTTGAACAAATAATAAAGGAGAACTTCCCCAATCTGGCAAAGGAAATAGACTTCCAGGAAATCCAGGAAGCTCAGAGAGCCCCAAAGAAGTTGGACCCAAGAAGAAACACACCAAGGCACATCATAATTACATTAGCCAAGGTAAAAATGAAGGAGAGAATCCTAGAAGCAGCAAGAGATAAGAGGACAGTTACCTACAAAGGAGTTCCCATCAGACTGTCAGCTGATTTCTCAAAAGAGACCTTATGGGCAAGAAGGGACTGGAAAGAAGTATTCCAAGTCATGAAAGGCAAGGACCTACATCCAAGATTGCTCTATCCAGCAAAGTTTTCACTTAGAATGCAAGAGCAAAGTGCTTCTCAGATAAGGTCAAGTTAAAGGAGTTCATCATCACCAAACCCTTATTTTTGAAATGTTACAGGGACTTATCTAAGAAAAGATAAAAAACATGTATAGTAAAGTGACAGCAAACTCACAATTATTAACAACCACACCTAAAACAAAAACAAAAACTAAGCAAACAACTAGAACAGGAACAGAACCACAAAAATGGACATCACATGAAGGGTTAGCAACAGGGGAGTGGGAGGAGAGAGGGGGAAAGGTACAGAGAATAAGTAGTGTAGATGGTAGGTAGAAAACAGACAGGGGGAGGGCAAGAATAGTGTGGGAAATGTAGAAGCTAAAGAACTTATGACACATGGACATGGATTAAAGGGGGAGAATGTGGGTGGGAGAGGGTGTGTAGGGTAGAGGGGAGTGAAGGGGGGAAATGGGACAACTGTAATAGCATGATCAATAAAATATATTTTTAAAAACTAAGTAAATATATAGGGTGTTTAAATGTGACAAATGTTTTTAAAGCATTTGAAAGCATTTAAGGTATCAACTTATAAAGAATAAAAAGTTTGATTTATTAGGCAGTAAAAACAAGTAAATAAAATAAGTATCCTGTTCCTATTTCATCATTAATGAACTTACCACCAACAAACTTTTTTCTAACTCTTCACATTACCTCACTTGTTCATATTTTCTTTCAAGCGTTATCTATTTTTACATGTTTTTACATAACTAAAGTAATGCAATTTTATTATTCTATGATAGCTTATTTACCTTGATAATCATGAAAAGCAACTAATACAAACAATAGAATTTCTTTCAAGGAGAGGAAATAACATGCAAAATAAATATCCTTTAGATGTATGTAGAGACAGTGAGTTAAAGATATAATCATGGGGGGAAATTGAGACAACTTTACTTGAACAACAATAAAAAAGAAAAAAGAGATTAGAATCAGAAAAGGAAGAAAAGAAATTAGATCAAACATAAACTGGGGATAAGACAGTTGTAGTATGTGTGAGCTTACAATTTTTTAATGCATTTTGAAACAAATTTTTATGGGAATGTGATTCCTGGGGATAAATTTGGAAATGTCTGTGACTCAATTTATTTTCCAGAAAGTAAGTTTACAAAACAAGAAAAAAAGAGATCTCATCAAAGGAAAGAAGCAATAACAACAAAATAGATACAATACCTCAGACGAACATTAACAAGAACGTGCAACATCTATATGCACAACATGTTAACATGATGCCCAGTGAAAGACACTCCAACAACTGGAAAGCAACATCATGTTCTTGCATAAAAAACACATTAAGATGTCAACTCTCACAAAGTTGCTTATAAATTTAATGTGATATAGATTACAGTATCATCAACATCTTTAAAACTAAAACACTTGTTTTCAGTTCACTGGTTAAAATAAACATGCTTACAGTTGAATACGCAGAAATAAATATCTTTTATGTATACAAAGAGTAATTTAAAGACACAATCAAAGAAAAGAACCAATAGCAACAAAACCAATAAAGTGCTTGGGAATAAACTTAACCAGAATATCCACAATCTGCATGAACAACATTTTTACATATGACCCACATGAGAGAAACTTCAAAAGTAACATCACGTTCTCGTTAGAAAAATCATACACAGATGTCATTTCCCAAAGTTGTTTAATATAGTCTATATTACGATATTACAAAGCTGTTTGCCTGCAGGTAAGCTTCTAGCTCTCTCCTGAAGGTCTCACACGTACAACCCCTGACGACCATCAGCCAGACCACCGAGCGTGACCACACCTCCTGGTGTCCACCTTCCGGACCACCCGGCGTCGTCAGTCATCATGACTGATAACCATCCGGAACCAATCCTAGGGCTGAGAATGCAGGACGAGTAATTCTCGGAAGGTGCCTTTTACTGTAAGAACTCTCCTCTCTTCTCTCCTTCGCACGCTGTGCTTCTGTTTGCAAACGCTAAGGCTCTGAAAGGAATCTCGGTCACTCGTTTCTGGCTCAGCCTCCAGACTCTTCGGCTTCATTTGACACATTTAACACTTACTTACGGCTGTGATGTGGGTGTAAGCAAATGCACATAGGAGGCGGAGAGGAACACACACCGTTTGCTGCATCGAACAGTGTCCTGCCCAAAATTCCCGTCCACCCGGAACTTCAGAACGGGAACTGACTGGGCAATGGGGTCTTGGCAGAGGTAATTAGCCAGGTGAAAGTGAGGTCACATTGGATTAGGGTGGGCCCTGACCCAGGGGCTGCTGTCCTTCGAGGACGGTCACGTGCGCACACGGGGAAGAAGGCCACGGGAGGATGAAGGCACAACAGGGCTGCCGGTGTGGCCGGAGGCCAGGAGAGAGGCTGGCACAGACCCTCCTCCTGGGGCTCCGGAAAGAGCCGATGCTGCGGACACCTCGATGTCAGACTTCGGGTGTCTGGCACTGTGAGAAAAAAACTGCTGTTGTTTTAAGCCACCCATTTGTGATACTTTGTTATGGCAAATTAATTTAGTGTTTTATGGCTAATTTTTTCCAATAAAATAAATTAGTAAAGAAGTTACCCACATTTTATGCTGGAACCTTTTTGGCTCTGCCACCTAAGTATGAAATCTTGAGCAACTCATTAGCTACATGAAGGCCTCAGCCGCTTTGTCTGTAAAATGGGGATGTTAACACCCACCCTGTTCACTCCCCACATCGCCACTGGAGTCTCCCTGCGCCCTTCTCTCACGATCCACATCCACGTCTCCAGTGGCCGTGACCGCCTGGCCACCCTCCCTGCCACCCCGTCTCCAGCCCCCAGCAGACCCATCCCACCGAAACACCACCGCAGGTTCCTTCTCCTTCTGTGACCTGCCACCAGTCTCTAATCACCTGTCACATGAAGTCCGAACTTCTTCGTTGAGTTAAAGACCCTCTGGACTCGGCGCCCCACCTGCCTACCACCCTTATCACTCACCACTTGCTCCCCTGGTTCAAAACCAGGTCCAGCCAGAGACAACCTTTGGCCCTGGAGCCTTGCCCTCCTCAGCAGTGCCAGTGAGCACGCTCTTCCCTGCGGGCCGGGCCCCCTCTACCTGAGCCCAGCCCCGGGTCTTCTCCCCGCCCCACGACAGACGGGAGTTCCCTTTCCCTCGAATTCCTAGAGCACAAACCCTCAGCATCTTACGAATTTTTATTAGTACCCATTAAACTGCAAACACTCTAAGAGAGAAAAAACTTTATTCACTACTGTGCCTCACATGCAATCTCATGGAGAGTGGGTCCTCAGTACACACCATCACATACACGAATAGCAATTATAAAGCACTTCAGTTTCAAGGCATTAACATAGGTTTTAAAAACTAAAAAATATTTAGATAGAAATGATATTCAGCAAGTGCCACCTCACTGGTTATAAAACACTGGAACACTTCCCTGCCGCCCCTGCGCCCTGGGGGCTGCAGGCAGCTCCGGGCCCCCCGACAGCATCCACACGTCCACAGCCTCGCAACCCCAAGGGCCAGCGTCCCGCTCCGGCCTCGCGGCCAGGACCAGCTGGTGGGGGGACTGTCCCTTCCGACTGGTCAACACCTGTGAGGTGGCAGTTAAATATGCTTATAATTACTGGATTATAAATAAAATTTAATTATACAATTTGAAAATGGTGCTTCTCCTCATTGCAGCATCTCCTAAAAGAGCAGATTCAGGAATAGAACAGGAAAATAAAACTTTGCCAGTCTCTGTGGATTAGGGCATACCCATTAAGGCTCAGTCTTCATGTAAAACAGAAGGTAGGCAGTTTCCCCCCTAGAGAGAAAAAAAATGCAACATCATAGCAGAAATGAAACATTCACAGTTAACTGCCACCTTATTAACTCTCAGCAGGATCAGGGTCAGCAAACTCCCCAGGCTGCTGGATACAGTGCTCATCTACCCACCACCACAGAGGAGCACGTGGGAGGCCACCCTGCACCGCGCTTAGTCAACATCTGCACTGGGGGCTGGCAGACCAGGAACCCACGAGTCCACTCGACTCCACTGGCACACGGCCACACTCGGCCACCCACGGGCGGCAGTGGCTGCTTTCGGCTACAAGGGCAGCGTTGAACAGCTGCGATAGACACTGTGGCCCACAAAGCCTAAAATATTGATTCTCTGGCCCCTTTTTAGAGTTTGCCAAACTCCGTTCTACTTGATGGGGGAGGGGAGCTGCTGACAAGCAGGAAGTGACAAAGAGTGAGCACCCACCAGAGGTGCTTACAAGAGAGGAAAGGGATGTCGGAGGAGGATTTCAAGCACAAATCCCACCTAGTTCATTACTTCTCAAGTGATCTGGTCAACTTCTGCAGCTGAAACCATCTCCACTATCACCTCTGGTGCACGATGCAGCCCCAACCCAGAAACTCAGCTGGGACACTTACAAAGTCTCCGCTTTGACTGCACCCAGCTTTTCTCTTTCCAGCTTCCCCTTTATAGTTATTGATTTTTAAAAATACAGGTATTGATATTTACTAAATACAAGCCACTGACCCAGACAGAGAAAGAGGAAAAGAGTGATCCTTGCCCCCAAAGAGTGCATGGGCTGCAGTGACAGTTATGTCAGCAAATGGGCACAAAACTGGGGGACCCTTTCCACAAAGGAGGTACGTTCAGAGCACAGTGGGGGCTCGTGAGGAGCCCTGCAGATCGGCCTGGGTGGGTCAGGGCAGGCTTCGCAGAGCAGGGAGGGCCATGCACGGGGTTGCGCAGGCAGGGTGGGGCCTCTGCCTCGGTGACGAGCTCACAGAGGGGAACACTGGCCAGACCCTGGGTGTGCAAAGCCGGGCGGCTCAGTTGGTTGCAGGGCCGTCCTGCACACCTAAAGGTTGCAGGTTCGATTCTCAGCGAGGGCACATGCCTAGGCTGTGGGTTGGGTCCCTAGTCAGGGTGCATATGGGAGGCAACCAATCGATGTCTCTTTCTCTCTCTCAGATCAATTTAAAAAACCATGTCCTCGGGTGAGGATCAGAAACATAAATAGATAAAATAAACTGTGAGAAAATCATCGTGGCGTGGTGGGGCGGGTGTGAAAGATGAAGCTGACCAGACCCCATGAGCCTCTCCACGGCTGTGGAGAGCCCTGTGCTTCGCCCACTCAGGCACGTCTCTTACCAGCGGTAGCTGCGGTTGCCGTAGGTGCACCGGATGTCTTCCCAGGACACCTGGATGCACACAGACGGGTTGAGTGAGGCACCCAGAGAGCGCAGGGTGCCGCCGCCCGCCCTCCCTCACTCCTCCCGGCAGCCTTGCCCAGGGAGGGGCCCTGGGGACCCACAGCGCCGGCTGATAAGCGCCACGGAGGAGGCAAAGTGTCTCTTCGAGCCTTTGCCTCTCTGGCCTCTCTGCTCAGACGTGGTTGTGCTCGGCTCGGAGTTCTAGCCTCACGCTTCTGCCTCTCCTCGCTTTCCTCAAGCTCCCCCCACGGCCTGGAGCCACAGGGCACTGAGCTCCGCAGCCACAACCCTGGACGTGCGGCCACGCGGACTCCGTGCAGACGACAGCTGTCACACCCACAAACCGTGCCCCCCACAGGGACCAGGGCCACACTGCGGCAGCTTACATGGCTTCGAGGACCCACCCGGCCCTGGGCTCAGAAGACGCCACGGAGCACTAGCCGGGGCGGCGGCGGTTTGGGGCAGGGTCACTCACCGGGCACACACTGGAGTCGTTGAAGCAGAACCACCGCCCGTCCGCGGAGCTCCGGATGTAGGCGCAGTAGTGGCCGAAGTTGGGCAGCCCCACGTGCGCGACCACAGCAAAGAGCTCGTACTGCCCTCCGAGCTGGAAGAACGCAGGGCAGGCGACTCGCCGCAGCCCCCAGCCGCCCCAGCCCGGCCCCCCCAGCCCCAGCCGGGCTGCCCCAGCCCCAGCCCGGCTCCCCCAGCCCGGCCTCGGAATGAGGGGACGCTCCCTGCACATTCATCTGGAATCTACTCCAGGCCAGGCCCGGGGCCTCGAGGGGACCAGAAAACAGTCCCTGACTTTGAGAATTTTGCTGCTAGGTAAGCCAGAATCAGAATGCCGTGTTTTACCCCAGGTGGTATCACAGGCAAATTCAGGAACACCCAACTGTTGCCCAAGAAAGGAAAAGGAACAGCAGCTGAGGAAAGGCTGAGGGGCGGGGGGAGAGCCCCCAGACACAAGACACGCCTGCGGTGGCCCTGCAGAGTGAACAAGACCGGTGGGCACGCCATGGAAAGGGGGTCCCGGAACACGGGCCCGGAGGCCACCGAGGTCCCGCAGCTCGGCAGGGCGGCGCGTCCTGAGGACGTGCACCCGGGGCGGGAGTGGGCGCCCCTCACCTGGCCATCGGCATCGGCATCGGCATCGTGGGGGGGAGCGTCCTCCGTCAGAAGGACCTGACCTAGGTCCAGTCTCGGGGGGAAACACAGGGAACTGCAGAGTTTTTCCGTCCGCGAATTCCTGACGGAGAACCGCATGAGGTGGATCGTCAAGGTCTGGGGCAAACGAGTCAGCTTCAAGACCTGCGGAGGCAAAGTCGCCGTGGGGACGAGGCCCTCGGCCCGGAAGTGGGGAGATTCGGAGAAACGGCAGCACGGCTGACACGTGGGGAGGGACGCAGCGGGACGCGGTGCAGAGGGCCCCGGTGGGAAGGGAAGGCCCGTGTGGGGCCCGGGGCCGCAGTGGGGTCTGCGGGCAGAGCTCCTCCGGCCTCGGGGGAAACTCTGCCCCAGCTCTCGGGCCCACCCTTCTCCCTCAAAAGCGGTCCCTCCCGCTGACGTCCGCGGAGGAGCCCCAGGACCCCCGGCTGCCAGGGGCTCTGTGACCAGCCTCTCAGGGACAGCCCCTCCGGGGGCTCCGGTCTCAGGGCGGGAGTACCTGCTGGCCGCGGGTCCTCCTCCCACAGTGCTCGCAGAAGCACCTGCTCTCGCCGGACAGCGGCCTGGGCTGGGAGAAGCAGCGAAGGGCCTCCTCCTGCCCACGAACGAGAAAACGAGCGGGGTTGGCGCAGCCCGGCCCTGCGGCGGGACGCCAGCTTCCCTTCCGGCGTCTCCGTGCCCCCAGACGCCAGGCCCAGCCCGGGGCCCACGGCGGGACGGCCGGCCCGGAGTGCCTGCTGATCAGAGGGGAAAGTGGGATGGGGCACCTGGAAGTACAAGTAGGAGGGGAGACATCTTTTTGCCAAATCAAAGGAGGACTTAGCCAGAGCCACGCAGAGGAGACAGGAATGGTTTTTGAAGGCCAAGCGTGAACTGCAGAAACCCAGGTACTGAACTAAGGAAGCAGGAAGGTGACGGGGCTCAACAAAAAGACATTTTATAACGAACAGACAGAGGCAACAGCGTGGAGACGGCCAGACAGAACGGGGGTGGGGGGTGGAGGTGGGCTAAGGGGGCAGCGAGGGGGGAAACAATGAAACGGAAAGAGCCTGCTGGGGGCGGTGGGCACCCGAAATGTGTGTGCAGGTGATGGGTCACCGACGTTACACTCGAGACTGGAGCGGTTTGGTGAGCCGGTGTCCCCTTATAACCCCGGCACACTCACGGGGGGGGGGGGGGCACCGGGCTGCAGGAGAAGAGGAAACCCACCCAGGGAGGCCCCTTACCAGCGTCCCCAGGAGATGTGAGTCCGCGTCAAAGAGAGACAGTGGGAGGGCCAGCATGCTGCTGTCCTTGCTGCTCTGCCCAGCGCAGTCCAGGCACACGAAGGTCTCCCTCGTCTGGATCGTGTGCAGGGCCTGCAGCCGCTCTGCCTGCGCGGGAGGGGGGGGTCGGGGTGAAAAGGGCGCGGAGCCCTCAACGGCCCTGTCAACGGGCCGGGCCAGGACAATCTCCAGAGCTGGGGCCGGCAGACCGAGCTCAAGAAATGGCAGCTACTAATGCTCTCTGCTTTCCTCCGAAAGGTGCAGACAACACCGTGGAACTGTGATCTGCACCCCATGCGATTCTCCCCCTTCACCCTCGCTGCACCTCACGGTGGCCACTGCTGAGGGAGCTGAGGGAGGGGCGTCCTAAGCGTGTGCTCCAGGCCCAGAATCTCACCAGGTCCTCATCCGTGATCTGGTCCTTAATGAGGCTCCACATTGTGAGGTAGAGTTGGGCCGCGTCGTGCTGGGCAAACACTGGCCGAAGAGAGAAGGCACAGCCGGGTTAGTGAGTCCCCGGGGACACCGCTCCAGCCCCAGGGCCTGGGTGCCCGTGGGCACCCACCACCCCGTGTCTCCCTGCCTTCGCCCTGTGTTCATGCCCAGTCTCCGCTGGATGCCAGGCGCCACAAATGGAAAACAACCTTGGTACTGGCTTTTGAGAGCTCCTCTTAGAACTTAACATCCAAGTTTTCTGCTTCTGATGTGCAACCCGCCCCCAGCGGCCTCCACTCAGGACCCAACCGGATAAAACCGGCAGTCGGCGGTGGGTTCGTCCCTGTCCGGGCCAAGCCAGCACTCGACTTGGATTCCTACGGCCACTCACTGCTCTGTGCCGTCATGTATTTTCCTCATTCACTTCCCTAAAACTCGAGCAGTTTCTCAACACTGGTATCTGACCCAGGAGCTCCCCAACAGCGTCCAGGAGAACAAGAAAAGAAAAGACCACCGCAGAGGTAGGGGCGGCAAGGGAGAAGCGGTGAGTTCCGTGCGTGTGACGTAAGTGCAGAAGCCTAGGAAAGAGGCCTGGGAAGACAGAGAGAATGAAGACACACGGAGGACTCTCTCCCCAAAGGGCAGCTATCGGCCGAAACACAAAGACACTGCAAGAAGGGTCACTGTTGTAAGTGCCCCGAACCGCCATGCCTGCTGCCTCAGCCCCATCTCATTTCCTTCGTGGCACTAAGCACAGAAGAAACGTCCTCAGGGTTTTGCTGTAGTGCGTAAATACCACCCGTCCTCCGCCTGCAGACACGTGGGCTCCTCAGAACAGTTTGGGTCGACGTCAGTGCCTCCAATACCGGGGCCCACTGTCCACCACACGCCACACTTAGTCCCTCCGCTCCCCTTCCCTCCCCTTCCCCTCCCTCTCGGTCTCCCACGCCCGCCCACCGGAGCACCAGGCCAGGAGCCGGTGCCGGGGGCCGTCTCACTCGACATGTTGTGCTTCTGGAGGCAATACACGAGCTCCATGGGCCGCACGGCCTTCTGCCGGCTGTCCTGCATCTTCTCCAGCAGCAAGAGCAGCTGGAAGGGCAAGTTTCTCTTCTGCTCCTCCATGCCCACTGGCACCTTCAACCTGCCGGGCAACAACAGCCGTGAGCCCCCCCAGTTCTCTGGGTCGGGGGCACGCTGCCTGCACTCCAGGGGACTTCCAAAAGTCTTCACACGCAGGCCAACTCTGTGAACTGGCTAAATCAGAATTTCTGGGGGTGGAAGCCAGTTATCAGAATTTTTCAATGTTCCAAATTATTTAAAGTATTCTATTTATTATTCTATTTATTATTAATATTCTATTAATTTTTTTAGAGAGGAGAGAAGGCAGGGAGAAAAAGAGGGAGAGGAACATTGATGTGCAAGAGAAACATCCATCAGTTGCCTCCTGCACGTCCCCCACAGGGGGCCTGGCCCGCAAGCCAGGGGTGTGCCCTGACAGGGCATCGAACCGGCAACGTTCTGGTTTCTGGGACAATGCCCAAACCAATGAGCCACACCAGTCAGGTGGCATTTATATACTTTTAAAATTTATTAGGTGACTGTGTAGTCCAGAATGTGCAGATCAAGACTTTCCTCTGGTGACTGTTGAAAGAAAACTATAGTTGGAGTCACTGTGGGCTTCTGGGCAAGATGAAGAAGTAGGTAAAGGCTGCACTCACCTCCTCCTACAACCTTGTCAGAATTCCTGGGCACCTGAACAGCAGAACAGCCATGACCCAGCACTGCCTGAGATCAGCCCACAGCTGAGGATGTGCAGACACAGCCATGCAGGAAAGACAGACATACAGAATGGGCTGGTCCCACACCCACGTGCGGTGGTTAAAAATCAGGAGGGGCATCGCAGCTGCACAGGTCCCCTGAGGAGCGAGGGACCCCAGCCCCGCACCAGGCCCCACAGCCAGCCCAGGGTTCCAGGGGCAAGAAGAGGAGTCCCCCAAACTTCTGGTTGTGAAAGCCGGTGGGGACTGTGGCTGATGGAGACAGAGGGCGTCTGGAGTCCCAGGAGTTCACAGATTCACCCCCTGAGAGACTCCCTCCCTCTGCGCTCCAGCCACGGGGCCGCACCTCGCAAGGCACCAGGGAGACACACGGGGAGGAACTGACGTGTCTGGCTGTGGCATGAGGGCTGGGGGCAGCTTTCCGCAGACAGACGTGCTGGCCGAGGCCTCTGTTCCTTTGATGATTCCCCTCCCCTCCCACAAAGCGGGCAGGCGGGACCCACATCTGAGCCCCCATCGACCTGCTCACACTGTTTGTCCAGCCCTACTGATTCCCTGAGAACCGCCCCCCCCCCCAGTGAACCTGCAGAGCCACCCAAGCTGTTTCCAGTGGCTTTTCCATCCAAATAGACTATCTTGGCTCGTGCTGCAGACTTCCCTAAGGTCTCTCAAAGATTCACAAAGCCCAAACAAGCAGCATTTGGCCTCGGTGTGCTAAGCAGCCCCAAGCCCGACACTGACAACAGCTGGCCTCTGTTCACAGCTCAGCATCTCTCAGGCCCCTCCAAGCAAAGCACAAAGGACAGCCACCTGCGGATCACTTTGTAGCTCACACCAGGTGGCCCCAGGCAGGCCAGAGGCAGCAGCTGACCTGGGCCTGCACCTCCCAAGAGGCTCCAGAACCAATACACTCAGTGGCCAAATTCAGATCACACCAGAGCACCGCCCGGACACCCCCCAAACGTCACACCCAAAGGCCAGGCCAAGTGCACCCTGCTTCGTAGGGTCAGCCCCTGCACAGCAGCCCTTGCACTGCAGTCACGGCCAGTTCCCACAACCAATCAGCCAGGGGGCCCTGCCTCACAGTGGCGTGCCCACAGCTGTCAAGGCACAACCACAATAGGAAGGCACGCAGAACCCACACCGACAGCACAGCGAACGCACTGCCTCAGATGATCGGGGAGGCTGTGTCACTGGGCCCCACAGGACACCTACTACACACGGCCACTCGGCCCAGACCGGGAGATGCAGCAGCTCTACCCGACACACAGAAACATGCACAGGGAGGCAGCCGAAGTGGGGAGACGAGGACACAGGTCTCAGATGAAAGAACAGAACAAAACTCCAAACAAAAAAGGACTAAACAGAATGGAGTCAAGGCATCTACCTGATGCAGAGGGCAGACCATGAGTTGGAAGGATGCTCAGTGATCTCAGCAAGAACTTCAACAAAAAAAACAGGAAACATGAAAATAGAGATAGAAAACAGCTTAAAAAGCAGTCAGAAATTAGAAATACACTAACTGAATAAAGTATACATTAGTGTGAATCAACAGAAGCAGAAGACAGAATTGGCAATTTTGAAGATGACAATTTTGAAAATAATCAGAACAAAAAAAATTTTTTTAATGAGGATAGTTTAAAGGGCCTCAGGGACAACATCAAGCTCTACAACATTCACATTATACTGACAGCAGGAAGAGAGAGGGAGAAAGGAATTAAAAGCTTATTTGAAGAAAGAGTGACAGAGAACTCAACCTGGAAAATGGAGACAACTGTACTTGAATAACAAGAGAAAAAAAAAAAAAAGAAAATTCTCCTAACCTGGTGAAGGAATTAGACCTACAAGTAAGTCCAGGAAGCACAGAGAGTCCCACACAAGATGAACCCAACGAGGCCCACTCCAAGACACATTACAATTAAAATGCCAAAGGTTAAAGACAAGGAGAGAATCTAAAAAGCAACAAGAGTAAAGCAGTTAGTTACCTACAAGGGAGCTCCCATAAGACTGTCACCTGATTTCTCAACAGAAACTTTGCAGAAACAAAAAGACCCACTTCAGATGGAAAGACACACACAGATGAAAGCAAAGGGATGGGAGAGATAGTTCACGTAAACAGTAACAGAACTATCTGGTGTAGCCATACTTACAGCACACAAAATGGACTTTCAAAGAAAGGCTACAACGAGACAAAGAAGGACTCGGCAATTCCACTTCTGGACATTTATTTGAAGAAACCCAAAGCACCAATTTGGAAAGACACATGTACCCACATGTTCACTGTAGCACTACTTATACTCGCCAAGGTACAGAAGCAACTTCAGTGCCGCCAGCAGATGAGCGGACAAAGCAGTGGTGCATGTACGCAACAGACTATGGCTTGGCCGTTAAATAAGAATGGCAGCTTGCAGTCTGTGGCAGCATGGGTGGACCTAGAAGGCAGCACACTAAGTGAAATAAGTCATGCAGAGAAAGACAAATACCATATGAATTCACTTATATGTGGAATCTAAAACACAACATAAAAGAAAATCCAAGATACTCATAGATACGAGGAACATTTCGATGCTTGCCAGATGGGAGTGGAGTTGGGGGAACAGGTCAAAAAGGTAAAAGATTAAAAAGTGGCTCAGTGGGTTGTGTGTATGCCTGCAAACCAAAGGGTTGCCGGTTCGATTCCCAGTCAGGGCACATGCCTGAGTTGTGGACCAGGTGCCCAGTAGGGGGTGTATGAGAGGTAACCACACATTGATATTTCTCTCCCTCTCTTTCTCCCTCCCTTCCCCTCTTTCCAAAAAACAAATCTTTTTAAAAATAGTACACATTGGTAGTTACAGAACAGTCACAGGGATGTAAAGCACAGCACAGGGAATACAGTCACTAATGCTGTAATAACTGTGGTGGTGCCAGGTGGGTGCTGGACTTGTTAGGGTGTCCACTTTGTAACTCACTTAAGTGTCTAATCACTGCGTGGAACATCTGAAACTGATATATACTGAATGTCAACTACACATGAAAAATAAGAAATTATTTTAAAAAGTTCAAGTCACTCTAAAGAACAGTATTTGAAAATATATGTAATATACATGTTTATGGCCTGAATAATAGTCTTACCTCTTCAGTATCCGGGTAAAGCCCACGTTCCTGATCAACACCTGGATCAGGGAGTTGAGGCAACAGGTCTGTCCCAGGTTGTGCAACCCGACTGGGTCTGCAGAGAGAAGAGGAAAGGCACTGAGGACAAGGCCTGGCGAAGGGACATCACAGAAGTCACGTGTCTCTCGGGAATCTCCTTCAGGACGCAAGATCCTGTAAAGCCCCCTCAGAGATACGAAGAACTCCCTGGGGAGCTTGCAAAAAGCAGCAGAGGAGACACAGCCACGGAAGCCGCACTGGCCCACTAGGAAGAGAGAGGCGTCCCGAGACACTGTGTGCCTGGGCCTCGCAGGTGTGCACACCGTTGTTGGGAGAACAGAGGAGAAGGGAGGAATGATTCAGGAACTGGGTGCGTGAGAATTAGGACTTCCTGCCAGAGCTGAGTCACGCAGGTGTCCCCGGGGACTCAGTGGTAACAGTCTTTTCTCGGGGGGAAGGCCCTGCCCAGTCTTGCCCACATGGCTGGAGAAATCGGAACAAAGCTTCTGGGGAGAGTCACTATGACCCAAACCCACCTGCAGGGGTCAGAAGCGACAAGGAGCCCAGCAGGGCGTCAGAAAACCAAGAGGCAGCGTTTCTCTAACCCACTTGCAACCCACGTCTCCTTCCCCGCCCAGCCTGGGGCTCCACAGTCCCTGCAGGTGAGTGACTTAAGGGGGAGGGAGGACCACTCCTCGCAGGATTCCTGAGGCAGGGCAGTGAGAATGCACAATAAAAATCCAGGGGTGGCAGGTCACAGAGTTGCACTCCCGAACCAGCAGAAGCGCTGGCCTCTGGACACACCCGCACACAGGGGGCTCTCTGCCCAGCCTCCTCTGAGGAGTGCCCCTCCCCCAGCCCCACGCAACCGCATGCACTCGGCGGGGGGACCCTTTACTCCCATTTAGAGAGGCTGAAATGGAGGCACAAGAGATCAGGGGTCTTTCACCACAAAGCCCTACTGCCCACGGTCTGGTGGATGCACCAGAGGGGTCTGCACGGTCAAAAGGCGGGGGAGGGCGGTAATGACCGTGAGGGCTGTCCCAGGCCCCGAGGTGCGAAGGCAGCCGCTCCCTCTTCTTCTTCATGTTGCTGCTCTCTTGCTTGTTCTCAACAGGGTCCGCCGAGGGTTGCTGAGACTCAGCCAGGGCTGATGCGCAGATGTCCTCAGGAACCGAAACACCCTGCCCATTAGCGACCACTCCGAAGTCCCCAGGCCTCTGGCCAGCCGGTCTTCAGCATGGCACGACCTCGCTTCCGGAAAGAGCTCTCCTGCGCGGGAGGTCTGTGAAAACACAGCACAGGCCTTACGGACAAGCGAGGGGAGAGCGCATTCCCAGGGCTGTGGGGCGGGGGGGGGTCGAGCGAGTAGGGGGACTAGACACCGGCTCCCCAAGATGCGCAGCCGCGGTTCCAGCCTGGGCCGCCCTGCGGCTCACGTGAACCGATGACTGCAGCTCTGCGGCACGCCGAAAACACGTCACACTTTCTGCCAATCTGACAAAAAAGATACAGGTATAGTTCTGATTCGTTCTCACCGGATGGCTGCTCTTGGGCTGGGTGCTGTCATTTCTCTCTTGGCCATCTGAGGGGAAAGAGCTCGGTGCCCCCGACCACACAGTCGCGTGGCGCACGCCACGGAAGTGCCCGCAGCACCGCGCTGTGCCGCGCACGCGACCTGGAACCCGCCGGCCTAGGGCCGGACGAGAACTGGGCCCCCGTCCACGCCCCTTGTCCCACGTCTCCCCATTCCTAACGCAGCAGAGTGGGCTGCCCCATTTTCTCCGCCCCCACCCCAGGGTCCCCGCTCTGGCGGACCAGATATTCGCCCCGGGGTGCAGACCGGAAGCCTGTCAAGCCCCTGGCCTGAAGGCCGCTCACAAGCACCCTCACTGTTGTCCACACCCTTGCCTTCCGGTGCAGAAGATATACACAGAGACACGTTGAAACGGAGTCAGAGCTGCTGCCCCAGGGGAAATGCCTCACAGGTCGGAGGCCTCAAGCCTCTGGATGTTAAAGGGGCGGAAAGCACCTTCGGACTGGGCCTAGAGCAACAGGGTACCTCAAAGGACTGTTTGCAAAGACAACAGGAAAGCATTGTGGTGACTAAGGGCCTGCTGACTACCAGGCTGAGAACTGGAAGCATTGCCTAGAGTTAGTGTCCGGGGGAGCTTGTCTGCACCAGCAGAGATGCCTGGGTGTGGAAGACACACCCTGGCCTCTGTGTCCTCGTCAGGGCAGTGACTGGCTTTCCCTGAATCAGAGCTTCCTGGAGAGCTGTTCTTTATCTCCAAGGCTCACTACTTCTCGTGGTGGCCTTCGGTTTTAGGGTAACGCTGAAAACCGTGTCCCGGCAGGCCCGGGGGTTTTCCCAGGTTCCCAGGCACGTTGTGCACAGAGCTACTGAACTGCTGGGCTCCCTGTATTCTCGTCACAGGGGGAAGAGCCGTCTCTGCACTCGGGGTGGGTGAGCATGCCACTCAGACCCCCGCAGGGCAGGCACCAGGCCGGGCACAGGGGTGTTAGTGGCCGGCAGCTGCCAGCTGAGTCCTCGGGGAACATGCCCCAGGGAAGGAAGCTAGCCCAGTCCCCATTCTGGGGCCAGAGGAGGAGCAGGTATGAAGGCTCGGGCACCGAGCCTGCCGGCGAAACAGCTCTGAGGGTCGTCCTGCCCCAGGGCGCCCCTTCAGTTCTGCCGAGGCCTCTGTGGTGACCATCCAGCGGGCCCCCGTCTCTCTCCCCACCCCTGCTTTGCTCACCCCAAGAACCCTCCTGGACACACATCTCAGACAGAGTCTTAGTGTTGAAGCGGATGTCCACCCGCGAGCCCCGTGTGCCTTCCGCAGCTTCTGTTGCACTGGGCACGGGGCCCGGTGGGTCCCGTAAGCGAGTGAAGGCGGGAGTGGGTGAGGTCGTGTAGGGAATGAAACAACTTCCCAAATAACAAAGTGGCTGTCACGTGGAGGAGACACAACTGGACTTACTGTCTGTGGGGCCCGGGGGTCGGCAGGTCAAACTACCTACTGTGTGACAAGCACGAAGACACAGGTGTTTCATAGGGAACACCCAAGAGCTTCCTCACAGCCCTGGCGGAGGCCCGTAAGCTCGGGTTGTTAGCCCGGGCCCTGCAGGAAGGGACCTGCAGAGCTGGGACCCGCACTCGGACCACATTCCTGGGTGGCCTGTGTGTGCGTTCCGTGGGAGAAGCCGCTCCAGAGAGCAAGTCCTAAAGGACGCCCTAAAGGCCCCTGGCTGCCGAGGGCGGACCGAGGGAGACAGGTTTTGACGCAGAGCAGCTGCCTTCAACGTGTCTCGTGGAGAGTGTTTTCAGTGTCCGCCTCCCTGAGCGTGCGTGGTTCTCAGGACGCTCCAGCTCCCTCTGAGGAAGTCCTCACTGAAAAGCTCGTGTTGTCATCTGTGCGCCGTGGAAGATGGGGACCCCTGGGTCCAGGTCCTGCACCAACGGCCAGCCTTTCCCACGCAGCCCCTCCCCCAGTGCCACACACGCTGCCACGGGGGGCGAACAGCCAGCCTGGACGCCAGTGCCCCTCCTTTGGGTGGCAGACTTGTATTTTCTTTTTGGAAGCCATCTGGGTTTTCAGACCACAAGGTCGCCCTGGGGGTCATTTGGACGCACAGCGTCCACAGTGGCGGCTGCAGTGGTGCCCGCCAGCCCCAGGGAGAGCGGACCATCATCAGCCCCTAGACTGTCAGATGGGACTTCAGGAGAGAACTTGCACTGAACCACCTGCTCCACCACTGTTGGGAACCGCCCTGCCTGGTTTCAGAAGCTGTAACCCCCGCCAAGGTGAAGGCTGAGGGAATGACCTTGGACCATAAGCCAGCAAGGAGACAAAAGCTTATCTCCCTGGCTTCTGTTCCTTTTACTTCACCCTGCCTGGCCCCCAATGCTTGGTCGGTTAGCCAATGACGGGTAAGATTCCTCAAGGAGGGAACAATCTAAGACAGGCACGATCACGTGGGAGGCCCCCAAGGAAGGACTTTGGGGGCTACAGCAAAAGGGGGTGATGGACCCTCGCCCCTCGGCTTTGACATAGCCTGAGTCCTCACTGTCTACAAGAAAATCTCCTAATCTCCTGACTGCCTTACTTCCCTTGCTCCACCTAATCCTGAAACAATGACAGGGTGGTGCCGCCCTGTGCTGGAAAGGGCGGGTTCCCCAGGCGATCTAGCCTGAGAAAAAATATGTAAAATCTTGTGAAACCTGCTTTGTTTAGAATGCTCTCAATTAAATGATAAGGGTCCAAGCAAGAAGTGAGTTTGTTCCTCAAAGTTTTACAGTTCTTTAGCTATCTGACCCTGACTCATAATAGGCCCTCAGACTTCCTTGTTATTTGATCCTTACTTCCTGGTAATGAGTAATGAGCTTTACCTGAATTCCTGTGCAAACGAACCCAATAACAGGCCATTGAGGAACTGGATCCTGGTCCTTCTCCTGTGAGAGATCGGCCACCTTTCCTCCCCAAGCAGATCATGTCTTGGTAGACTTGCTCTCATCCGTGGTGGACCGGGGGCTCTGCTGACAAAGCTCCCCCACACACCACAGCAAGAAAACCCACCAGCCAAAGAGAAAAGCCCGTGACCACAAGGGAACAGAGCCAAGAGACAGGGACAGACAGAAAACCAGAATCCCGCGGCCTTCAGCTTCAGCCCTGGAAGCAGCCACGCCTCAGGCTGCCCGCCCACCATGCCCCCCCACCCAGAGGTCCTCTGCCGTTTTTCAGATTAGTTTGAACTGAGTTCCTGCCCCTTCCAGCTGAAAGGGTGCTGACTGGTACTGATTCAACTTCTAGGGCTCTCTCTTCAGGAAATAACCAGAGATCTATGTAAAGATCAAAGATCTATGTAAGAGATTATTCACCAAAATTTGTTTTTATGGCCCATTTTCATTATGTATTTAACAAACAAGGTAAAATGAAATATTGATAAGAAAAGTAATGACATTTAGGAAATTGAGGGAAATTCATTCCGTTACCATTTTGTCCATTCTTCTAGACATCTTATTGTTCCTCTTTAACAGTAGGTGATTTATCAAATAAGGATTTTTTTGTTTTGTCAACTGCCAAAAAAGAAAAGTACCCTTCCAAATTCAAGGGCTGCAACACTATAGTAGCAAAAAAAAAAAAAGCCCCAAAAATACAACAATAAGAGTTAACTAAATTATGATTCATAAAATGAAATATTATGGTGGTATTAAAATAATTTTAGACTGTTTAATAAAGATGGAGAAATGACTATATTTCATTGAATAAAAAGAAATGATAAATCATATAGTATGAGCCTAATTTCATAAAACACAAATGTAAGTACACACACACACACAGAAAATGATTGGGATGAAATATAACAAAAATGTCATTGAAAGGTAAATCTCACTGGTGGGATTGCACACAATTTCTGGGTTTTTTTTTTTCCTTGTTTTCAAATGTTATTTTTTTATTTTTAGATTGAGGTGATGAGAAGGAGAGAAACATTGCTGTATGGCTGCCACTTGTGCGCCCCCTACTGGGGACCTGGCCCTGCAACCCAGGCCTGTGCCCTGACTGGGAATTGGACCAGCAACCTCTCAGTTCGCAGGCTGGCACTTAATCCACTGAGCCCTCCAGCCAGGGCTCTTGATTACTTCCCTTAATTTGTAAATATACTGTAATTAATTGATATGTAATTTTTAAATAATAATTCACTTAGAGGATAGATTTAATATCTTTCAATGGAGCCTTTGTTGGCATGGTGTTCTCGTTCCAAGATCCCAAAACTTAACAAGTTAGGAATGAAAAGAAGTGTAAGAATCTTTTTTCTTAATTCTTTTAGAAAACGTGGAGGAAAGAAGAACATCTGCAGTTAGGAAACAACTAAATATAAGTGGATATCTTATTACATTCATGTTAACAAACACCTCCTTTTCCTAGTAAACATTTATTTTCAAAAGTCACCAACAGCTGTTCCTCTTCTGAGTCTCAGTCTCGGAGAGTAAAGCTGAGGACAGGCGACAATTCCGTGAGCAAGACACAGGACTCGGCGGCCACCCTGAGGGGGAGCCTGACGGAAGAGTCACAAGGGGCCAGCCTGTGCTTTCCAGACACTTTCCACCAAGACCTGGGAAAGACTCACTGCAACCAGAAAGGGCAGCGAGACTTGGGCTGGCGGGCCAGGTGCTAAAGGGCAAGAGACGGAGGCAGCAGCCTTTGGAGCTGATGGCAGAGGAGACAGGTAAGGGACGCAATAACAGGAAGGAAAGTGAAACTTAGAGTCCAGAGGGT